TCCTTATTATTTATACACAGTCAGGGCCAGTAAGGGCCGTAAGGAAAGGGGACCATAATCCCCTAGGGACCATACTTTCTTTTACGCCGGCCTCGGTACACTACCGCATTGTACTGTTAGAGATTGGCTACGTAGAAACCTTTGGTCCATATGTCACTCTATATATATGTAACTGAATAATACTAATTTACAATCGTACCTGTATATACTCTTTTATATGGCCTTATTTGGAAATCCGATGCAAATTGAAATATGTCCTTGAATCCATCTCTATTTTTGTAAACGCATAGACTTGTTTTCTTTGTATCAGTGGTAAGCGTGAAATTTCAAAGAAGCCGTATATCATTTACGAACGAAAACAACAGGATGACGCCGATCAAATGGACAGCGAGGGCGTATTCCAAATGTAATAACAGGATATGCAACATAATCTTTGAGCATATAATGACTTTCTCAAAAATGGACGTGATAAACAGAACTACTTTAGATGGTTGGCCAAGATACCTAATGAACGCAGGCGCTATTACTGTCTTTTTACGTCTATGTAGACGTAAAATTACGCCTTTGAATATGATTAACGAAGATCTAAAATGCATACAGGAGTTTGTTTATACATGTTAATATGTTGTTTATACCTGTGGAATTTAACACAGTCGTCTAAACAACGTAATTCACGTCCACATTGACGTAATTAGGCATTATTAACGTATATATAGGCGTAAATAAACACCCGCATTCATCGTTAACTACGGCAACCATATATTTAATGATAATATGATCGGCTTACGTGGGCAAAACAGTAGGTAGTATAAGCTTTTCAAATCAACTATTTTTGTTTAGGACGCTGACTGGCTTAACAAAATGAGCTTAATCGTATCATTTGATGATCTATTAAGTTTCCTTTCATTCAGATTCTATGGAAAAGTGTTTATCCGTTTACGCTCATATTACATATTATCATTGTAATGTGCGTATCTATTAAATCTACAGTGAAATAATATACGATACATAAAATTGAAGGCATATAGTTTTGATGTGGTAATGTGCCCAACATTGGATTCAGAATTTTCTCCGGTTAATTTTTCGATATTCTTTAAATTTCGGCGCTAAATTTTGTAACAGCCAGAACATCGTGTTCGTTGTTTTAGTGCATAAATTGTCATTTTTGTACCTTGAGAGGTCTATTTTAGAGCCATTTAATATTATGATGAATATACGAGTTACGAGAAAACATGAGAAAACTTGAAAATCTTTAAATAGCTTTGAAGGCTAAATAAAGGTAAATAACAGTGCAAATCGAATGTGTGTAGGTAAGTACACATTAAAGAATACAAATAATGCATCAAATAGAAGAACATTTTAGTCTTTAATTGTTGAAATTGCAGATCTCCTAAAACCTCTCTTAAAACGAGACTTCAGCGGGATTTCAAAGCTATTTAGAAAAGCGTCTATTGAACAACTCAATTCTCAAATGCGACCATATTACACCTTTGCTGTTGAAATTAGAATTTCAGAGATTGCATATTTTCCGTATCATCTGTAGTTGGCCGGATACGCTCCTGGTATGAGATTTCCTTGTTTACGCGTCGATCAAGAGTAAAAACCACTATAAGTGTTGTAGAATACGTGTAGAATACAGTCTATCTATATTACAGATGAACTAACGAATATGAAAGCACATAAGATCCTGGAACGATTCCGTTAGTCAGTTCAATACAATTAAGATTTATATTTAATGGAAACTAATAATACAATTACCTGTTTTGATTCCGAAAAGCAAAGAACATCAGCATGAAGTGAAGTCACGTGATACAATATGGCGGTGATTCGTACATCAATCAAAATCAATCTTACTATATTTCTATTTTGTTAGTTCTTGTAATGTTAATTCTGTAATAGCATGTCGATGGATAATGAACTCATTAAATCTGAATAAAATGAATTAATTTAATTCAGTCCGGGGCAAGTTTAAGTTAATTACATCATTACTGACACAATGCTGTCGCCCATGCACATCTATTAACGTACACAGGTCGATTTATGGGCGAGACAAAATCATCGAAGATCCCCCCCCCCTGAATCTTGTCTGAGCCATCTAGTATAAAGAGAAACATTATTTATTGTCTATATGTGCAGGAACTTGTATCAAGTCCTTTTTGGTCCCAATTTTTGGGTCCTTAACGGTTTTTTGCCCGTCCTCACTCTCAGTATCTATATTGAGGGCGAGGACGGGCAAAAAACCTCGTAACGGATCAAAAAGGTCTTTATACAACTTCCAGTGTCCACATGTACTGTATCTTATAGTACATGTTCGAAGTCGAGACGCATGAGCACATTGTGTTTATTACTTTACCATTCTCTGCAATTCTGCAATGCCAGTCCATTGCACCACTTTGCATTTTTCTTGCCTTAATATGTTTTATATCTTGCTTTCTTGTTTTTCATTAATTTGAATTGTCATGCTTTGCCTTATATTTTGGCATTGACAACTTAATCAATAGGTGGCGTACGATAAGCACTGTGATAATCGTGTGAAATCAGTTCAACCGAACCTATATTATCCAAAACCAAGCGAGTAAAAATAAACACAGAAGGGGGAAAATAATGTTTACACTTGACACTGCTGAGATTAATATAATTCACTTTTTCAAGTTCACGAAACGATTTCATCAATTAGTGAAAGTAAACCAGTTAAGACAGCCAAGACGAATTGATGTTCCAATTTTTGGACTCTGCCATCAAATGAGATTATTTGAGCGTTGAACTTACTGATAACCTTCTCTGCACTTTTAATTTGCCTTAAACTCATCATTTTTGGTAACGGTGAATTGGTAACGGTCGATGTTCTTATTTAGGTGGCTATTATGTGAAATGAAGTTCGTTACCGTTGAGGAGGTCTTGGCTCAATTGGCATCCCCAATCGATGATCTATACTAGAAACGGTTGAGAAAAGTATATAAAGTTAGGCTCTTGCAAATTAATCTTTGTTTATTATTCGATCTTCTGAAAAACACAGGTCATTGATGAAACCCTGCTAATCAGATAGTTAACTTGTATAGGCCTAATTGGAAATGTAAACAACGGGAACATGGGCAAAGATCGTAGCTGGATAATGTAAATGAGATTGTACATGTTGAAAAATGATGTTTTCGAGACAGTGGAATGTCTTAATCTTGATTCACAAGGTTTCTGTTACTTTAACGTATTTTGTCAAGGAGGATTGGCTCCCAGAGTGCACCACCGATATTCTGTCCCATATATGGGTATGTCGTAATACAAAATTCGAATTCAAACAGCCGCCATTTTGTTCACTTCAACATTTAAATCGTGAATTTTGGTCTTATTTCCAAACGAAAAATTCCAAAACTCACAAGAAATGATCGAGATATTGGTTCGAATCTTTTGAACTGTTTATTTTGAATTTATAGTCGGTTTTAATTTCAGAAAATAACGACATTTCGACGTTTTCATTGTTGGAAAATATCGAGTTTCGATCCTGGGAGCCAATCCTCCTTGGTATTTTGTGATACCTTTCAAAATTTAAAACGAACGTCTACTTTCTGAACGTGTTTGGCACGTGCTTTACGGTAGCGCATGCGCAATGCATATTTGGATACGGTGCTTGGCCGATCGAGCAAATGGATGTCGTTAAAATCCCAAACGCTTATCCAGACCTTTAATTCCAGGGTAAATTGTTTCACTGTGGTTTAGTCAACGGAACGTTTCTAAATGCAATTGTTCTTTCATTTCAGATGGTGCAGCTATCCAAACATATCTACGAAGCTTTATCCGCAAACTATTCAAACCACACAGCAGATCGTGATAAAATGTAAATCTGACCCGTGAATGGAGCTAATCGCCTTGGTTTAATTACAAATCGAACCGGTTATTCAGAAATAGAAGGCACATAATTGCGCTAATCGAATCACTAAACATGGAAACAAAATAATGACATTGATCATCTAAATTGGAATTCTGGCTCTGCAGTGGTTGACTTTGTTCGGAACTCGATGCGACTCTAGAGCGTTCTAGTACAACAGCGATCATAACCCATTCTAGTCTATAGTTCGAGAGATATTCTAAATTGGACTGGAAGTATTACGCATTCTTGATGTGATTTGACTTTGTTCGGAACTTGATGAGACTCTATTGCAGCAACGAATACAATCCACTGCGAGTTGTTTGGTGGTATAAAAACGACCAGAGACGTTGATATAAACGAATGGAATTCTCAAGACCTTTTAAATAGGATTCCACGTTTTACCAGTAATTGGGTCGTTTCCATTCGCTTGGTGCGGCGCTTAATGTCACATGTAGATTGCGGGCATGAATTATAAGTTTTTAGTTTACTTATTTCACACAACACGTACGATAAATAGCTAACGATCTGTTTGTATATTATAGAATCTTCAATCGGACACATTATATCAATTCATATATTCGATGCATGTGCCTGGTGGCATTGGATTAATTGATTTATAATTATAACGGAAAAAAGCTACAAACAAAATAAGAAAGTGTCAAAACAAGTCAAGAAAATTATTAAAAGAATAAGAGGTGATACGAGGTTATACGTGACGTTATTACAAAAAGTGGGAGATCATTGTATGGAGGATAATAGATCAAAGCGATCAAGTATTCATTTAATCTTATTCGACATGATATACAAGGAGTTAACACAATATCATTTTATGAATAGAAAATAGATTGAAGCTTCATATGACAATTCCCTGAAGATGTGTTGAGAATAACTGAGTTTGCCGTAGAGTTTCTTATGTTCTACTGCATTAGATGATGGCGACTTTCGACATTTGAATGCGTTTGATAAAGACACAAAATCGAGACGCCACAATTTGGAATATATGAGTAATTTGGATAGCTGTGTGACGGATGTCTTGAAAAACAATTTGAATAATTTTTTGGGAACATATTTGTGCAAAAGTTATCAACAATATTAACGTATATGTTATTGATTTGGATAATTTTTTGGTTGGGAACATATCTGTACAAAAGTATTGTCAACCCTATTAGTAAAGTATAACTATCTTATTACCGTAATCAACATGAACATCGACTTTCTGCTGCAGATGTATCTAAACAAATAAGTTGAGGGATTATTTGGAAAGGCATATCTCCATTCAACAGTATACACATTGAGGCGATTATGGCTGATATGGGTACATCAGTCATGAATTCAACAAATGATACAATGGATAATGTTTCATGTTGCCAAGAGGATTACAGAGATGACTTGGAACTTTATTATATACAATTCCAATCCGGTTTGGTGTCCAATATCATATGCGCCTTTGGTGTCATCTGTAATTTGTTATCCATTGTTGTGCTTAGCAACCATCGGATGAGATCATCAACGTCTATCTATCTTATGGCACTCGCCATCCTTGATATTGTAGTCCTTCTTTGTTCAGCGCTTTTTCTTGCCATTCCAGCAATGGCCGGGTATCTCCAAGGCAACTTGATGACGTATTCGAAATTCTACCCAAATCTTCATCCGATTGGCTACCCGTTGACGCTCATATCTCAGACGTGTACGATTTATATTACCGTTGCGTTCACAGTTGAGAGATTTATAGCAGTATGCCACCCATTACAAGCTGCAAATATGTGCACAATTCCACGTGCGAAGCGAGTTGTAGTGACAGTCATATTCTGCGCTGTCGTTTTCAATATTCCACGAATGTTAGAATTCGGAGTGACCCAAACATTAGATAAAGCCACCAATGCCACTGTACCGAGGATTGTCTATAAGGACCTACACTGGAATAAAATATATAAAGTCACTTATATGGTTATAGCGTATATTCTTGTCATTTTTCTGATACCATTCCTATTGCTGACTATACTGAATACGCTACTAATAAAAGCGGTAAATCGTTCCAGAGCGACGCGGGCGACAATGAATACTCGAACGCTACGAGAGAATAATCTAACAGTGATGCTGATTGCAGTGATAATGGTGTTCCTCATTTGCCAATTCCCTGCCCTCATAGACAATATTATAACAGCCTTCTTACCGAACGAGATCCAAAACTCAAGGTGGTATATCATTTTCTATAGTATTTGTACCAATATGGTCATTCTAAACTCGGCTGTCAACTTCATACTATATTGCGTCTTTGGTAAAAAGTTCCGTCGTATTTTCCTGGTGATGTTCAAATGTTGGCGATTCTGCCCTAACAGCGACATCTTTCGGTTCGAGGAGACGAACTACACCAATGTAAGCATTCTTCGAAAAGCAAGTATGGTTTCTAAATCAAATACCACCATTAGAGATAAAAGTTATACCGGAAATATTGTGTCACAGAAAAACTTCGGCCCACTGAGAAAGTTTATAAGTAAGCCATACAGAAATGGACAAGCCAATATGGACGACGGCCACGAGGGACATTCTACCTTACTTGAGAAAAAACATGTGCAGAGAACCTTGCCTAATGGAAATATAGTATATGATGTATAAATGAACTATATAAAGGACAACAATTTTAATACAGAGCAGGCCCGTAGCCAGGATTTGCCAAGGGGGGGGGGGTCAGTTTTCAAAAATTTCCGGGGGGGTTCACATTTGTCAATTTTGGCCCAAATATGGCTAAAACCACTATAGAAGTGCTCAAATTGGTGAAAAACTGCATGATTTTGAAAGAATTTTTGGCAAGGGGGGGGGTCGCCTGAACCCTGCGATTCCCCCTGCATGGCTACGGGCCTGCTGAGCTAATACGATTGACATGGATTACTGTCCTCTCTCAATGAGTTTTCCAGAGACCTAGTTACAACTCATTTCCTCACTCCTTTATGCTCAATCAACAAGTAAATAATACGACAAAAGAAAGAATTTCTACAGGGCCATTATATTATACTACACGTTCACGTTAGGCTTATTTTTAATGTGTAGTTTAACCTACCGACTGATAACTTGGAAATACGGAATCGTAAAAATGTACAGTTGAAGTAGTAAGCTTGTTATAATAATGGCTAAAATCAAGTGATCACGGTTCAATTTGCAATAAAAAGTACGAAAATAAAGGTCTGTATGTGTGTTACAGCATGCGTTTTTAGATAGTTGATATTATGTGCAGTTAAGTTCTATAATAAAGCTGTGTAGTTAAACTCTGCAGTAAAGCTGTACAGTAAAGTTCATCAGTAAAGCTGTACAGTAAAGTTCCTCAGTAAAGCTGTACAGTAAAGTCCATCAGTAAAGCTGTACAGTAAAGTTCATCAGAAAAACAGTACAGTAAATTTCCTCAGTTAAGCTGTACAGTAAAGTTCCCCTGTAAAGCTGTGCAGTAAAATTACTCAGTATTAAGGTGTACAGTAAAGTTCCTCAGTAAAGATGTACAGTAAAGTTCCCCTGTAAAGTTGTGCAGTAAAATTCCTCAGTAACGCTGTACAGTAAAGTTCCTCAGTAAAGCTGTACAGTAAAGTTCCTCAGTAAAGCTGTACAGTAAAGTTCCTCAGTAAAGCTGTACAGTAAAGTTCCTCAGTAACGCTGTACAGTAAAGTTCCTCAGTAACGCTGTACAGTAAAGTTCCTCAGCAAAGCTGTACAGTAAAGTTCCTCAGCAAAGTTGTACAGTAAAGTTCCTCAGTTAAGCTGTACAGTAAAGTTCCCCAGTAAAACTGTGCAGTAAAATTCCTCAGTAAAGCTGTGCAGTACAATTCCTCAGTAAAGCTGTACAGTAAAGCTCCTCAGTAAAACTGTACAATAAAATGTCCACTTGTAATTTATTGAATTTATTTATGCTCATTTGGACTTTAGTAGTTTGCAGAAAACCATGACTGAGTGATTATGTATCAGTGCTTTACTGTTGTTTGCTGATCTTGACAAAAATGTGACTAAAAGCAGTTAGGATCACTTGTAAGTTAAGTGAGCCCGGCCATAGGAAAACCGGACTTATCACAAAAATTTAAATTGTGCTACAGAACCAAAATTGTGCCCAAGATTAAGAAGATAAGGTTCATGGGTTAATTCAAATCCGACTTGTTTGTCAATATACTGTCTGCAAGGGAAAATTGTAAAGACACAAGCCGTGGCTCATTTGAAAGGTCTCTTTGTGCTTTTTAAGATAAACAAGAAATCAGAATATAGAAAAAATCTGTGATAGGACCCCTTCTCTTGTGGCCTGGCTCAAATGTATTTTTTAAGTTATAACTGTTTAAACGTAAGAAGGTTTGTTATTCTTTGAGTATTTAGGTTACTTTATCATTTCTGATTAAATGTTTCTGCTATACAATATTTTCTGATGGATTAAAACATTGAATGTTGCACATTCAGTGGAAATTTCATTAGAATAGGCTATATTTAACAATGTAGTATACATTTTGCGAGAACTTTATGTTCATCCCTCGTAGAACCAATGCGATATTGCAATGTGGTCCTTTAGCAAATCAAAGTGTAACTAGACATGTAAATTGAACAAGTTCAATTTAAGACTCCAGATTTCACATTTTTTTTAAGCTGAGTCATCCAGAACTTGTAAGCTGAGTCATTCAGAATAAGCTGAGTCAGCTAGAATATAGACATTTAGACAACTTTTAAGAAGGCTATCTTCGACTCTATTAGCTTAACATGGGGATATCATCATATCGACTTTTCGAGACTTCAAACCGCTATAACTATCTAACCAGAAGTTAGATCGAAATTTGGTTTAAAGATTCTGATTCCTGAGAAAATTCTACCCTTAATTCATAACTCATACGTTAAATTTGGATAATTTTTTATTTTGACCTATATTTCGGACACCATATCTCAAAAGTGGGTCAAAAAACTTTCTGACGGCAGAAGGCTTACACTATAAGCACACTCTTTGCTACCTGTATACAAAATTTTGAAGCAAATCCTTAAAGTGTAATGTCAGAATCGCAAAAATAAGGAAAAACTATGAATTTGACCTAGATTTTGACCAAGGCATTTTTGCGTCCAAATTTTAAAGCTAGATAGCATTCGAGGTCCCCTCCTTTTATAGGCTTTCAGAATATTAAGCTGTACTCAGTCTTTATCTGGTATTTTACACTTCAAAAAATCCTTTTTCTCATTGACATAACATGGGGCACCAAATTTAGCGATTTTTGAGCTTTCAAAACCCCATAACTTTCGAACCGGAAGTCGGATCGTAATTTGGTTTGCAGATTCGGATTCCTGACAAAATTTTACCCCTAATTCATAACTCATACGTTAAATTTGGAATTTTTTTATTTTGACCTACTTTTTGGACACGCCATAACTTCCGAACCGGTAGTCGGATCGAAATTTGGTTTGCAGATTCGGATTCCTGAGAAGATTCCACCCTTAATTCATAACTCATACGTTGAATCTGGAGAACTTCTTATTTTGACCTACTTTTCGGACACCATATCTCAAAAGTGGGTCAAAATACTTTCTGACGGCAAAAGGCTAACACTATTAGCACACTCTTTGCTACCTGTATACAAAATTTTGAAGTAAATTATTAAAGTGTAGTGTCAGAATCGTAAAAATAAGGAAAAACTATGAATTTGACCTTGATTTTGACCTAGGCATTTTGGTGTCCAAATTTTGAAGCTATGTAGCTTTTGAGGTCCCCTTCTTTTATAAGCATTCATTATGTTAAGCTGTACTCAGTCAATATCCTGTATTTTACACTTCGAAAAAGTCTTTTTTCCCATTGACTTAACATAGGCACCAAATTTAGCGATTTTTGAGCTTTCAAAACGCCATAACTTCCGAACCGGAAGTCCGATCCAAATTTGGTTTGCAGATTTGGATTCCTGAGAAAATTCTACATCTTTTTCATAGCTCACACATTCGATTTTGAGCATGTTTAGGCGTGACCTACATTTCGGACGCCGTATCTCAAAATCGGTAAGAGTAATCAAAATTATGATGTCATATCTTTGATTCGCCTTTTTCTAAGCTACACGATGAAAAAAAGATGAAGGAGTTACGAAGAATATTGACGAAGATATGATGAAGAATGTTGAAAATGTAAGATTTGACCTAGTTCTTGACCTTTGACCTAGATAAAAATTTGACCTAATTTCCCAGAAAGCCGGTTTCAGTCTTTAGTTAACCATGTAAGTTGGATTAAGTAAGCTGTTATAGTTGACGAGAAATTTGGCGAGGAGGAAGAAAAAAGAATAATAATAATAATAATAATAATAAAGAAAACTGGCAAAAACAATAGACTCCAGATTTTCAATCTGGAGTCTAATAACCGATGATTTAACCCTCGATGAGTAAAAATGTATAATAAAAATATTACATAACGTATTCAATGCTTATAACGTTTGCCATCTGTTTGAAAAGGGGGTCCAGAGACTTGACGCAGTCCTATTACATATTGCACAAAAATATCTTTACAGTTCAACAAAATATAAACTGTGTTTAAATCAAAATATGTAATCCGAACACAGGAGCTACGCATATAAGTATTCACACGTTCTTCGATTGAAATCACAAAAGCAAACATAAACACCATACTGTTTCTAGAGTATAAAGACCCATTTCGATTGATATAATGGTTAACATGACTAAAATCGAGAAAAATCTCGTCTGGGAGATGTATACATAACCCCGTGTCTTATGATTTGAACCAATATGTAGCGTATAGGATGAATTGATTTGCCTCAAAATCAACAGATTGAACGAGATTGCGTGATTAATTCAATTTCCATTCAATATTACTTAACGTGGAGGTGGAAAGAAAAACACTAATGGAAACTTGTGTTTTGCTCTGACTATCTTTAACGACCATTAAAATCTCAGGAAACATTAAAGTATAGCAATTAATCAAATATCCTGCGAATTGCGAATTTAAAAGGCGCAAATTGCATGATGACTGTTGCTCATATAAATGGAAAATTAAACACGCCACGAAGATGCCTATAACTTACGGTTACAGTATTTTTATATTCTAATGTGTTGATTTAGAAAATTCAAATTGATCGTTCTACGAAATCGAAGTTCACACTCTGATACACAAAGGATCTAAAAACATGTCTATGTTCCATATACCAAATTCCATGGCGATCTATGATGCAAAAAGAGGGGGTCATAGTATCCCATGATGCTAAGTCCAGCTGAGCTTTATTTCCGGAAACTATTTATTCTTGTAAAATCACAAAAAAATAGTAATATATAATTTAATTTAACTTAGTCATGTTAGTTTATTATCGAGAAGACGAAAACGTTGCCATCTTGAAAATTATAGAGATAATGTTAATATGTTTCTTACAAATCTGTAAAACATAATTCGAACTTGCACACATTTTGGAGACGGCGTCTTGAAACTTTTGGAGGAGAATGTATCATTTGGGAATTTGAATATTAAACTGTCAATTTCTATCAAATTGATATTACGTATCCCCTTTGGCCTTTGCACTTTAATATATATTTCAACCAATGCAAAAGTTGTACTTTTCCAAAAAGGGCAATACCGTGGCAAAAGTACTGCAGGCATATTCGATACATCTAAGCTTCGTAATCTACACTCGCGATTGCATACCAATCATTATCTTTATATTTGGCAATAAAATAAC